TTACGTCTTTAATTGATTTTTCCGTACATTTCTGCCATATGTACATTAACTGACAGTCACCACTGATAAGCTACCACTAAATATTGTAGAAACTTAATTTGCTGTAAAGTTGCTTTGCAATGATTTGTATCGTGAAAAGCGCTGTACATATAAACTTGACTTGACTTGATATATACATACAAATAACCATATATATATGACACAAGATAGTTATAGAAGTTCACAGAACTGACTTGGCAACAGCTGAGTAAAACTGTTTCATCTGAGCATGTGGCACTTTAAGCATTATCGTATCGAATATCGCATTATTGAATGAGTTATCGCATATCGCATTTTTCTTCAATATCGCACAGCCCTACTAAATTTAATGATCATTTGAAATTGGAGTCAGATTAAACACGGCGCTAGACTAAAATTGAGACTAAATCCTGATAAATTCAGAGGCGCAAGTAAAAGACCGAACATGCATTAAACCTTCAACCAGGCCGCTGGACTCCGCCTTTTGGGCCGGCGCGTGGATTCTTACAGTTTCTTCAAGCAGAAGAAGTTGGATGAAATATTCTGGATGATATCAATCCACAATCTGATTTGTGATGCAGCCCGGAATAATCACACCACGTTCATTTGTTTGGCCAGAGGAGAACTGGTTTCCTGACTGAGCCTGGTTTTGATATGGTTTTGGTTCTTTGCTACTGTTGCCTTTTGTCTTGCTTAGTTGAAGACACCTAATATTCAGCAATATTATTGACTTGACTGCACTGACACCATTGGATAAGAACTGAACTGACCTGAAATATGGCATCCCTGTTTGCTACATAATGTTGTTGTTTTTTAAATAATATACTGTAAACATAATTTACTTATTTTGTGCTTTAAAAAGTGTGTTAATGTTTATATTGTAGTGCATTTGTTCATTGTTAATATATATTTAGTAAAGTATATTTGATAATTTTATAATTAAAGCCTTTAATCTTTTTAAATGGTTGTATTTGTGTTTCACTGCTGAATTACATTTAGCAGTTTCTGGGCCACCAGACAAGCCCTCTGCACAGACCCTTTTTACCAGCTTCACCTGCTGGCATGATGTTTCTTCAAGTAGAAGAAGTTGGATGAAATATTCTGAATGATATCAATCCACAATCTGATTTGTGATGCAGCCCTGAATAATCACACCACGTTCATTTGTTTGGCCAGAGGAGAACTGGTTTCCTGACTGA